GCTGGACTCTTGGGCAAAGAACTGCCCCCACCTCGACTGCTGACTCTGGACACGTTGTCTTACTGTGCTAGCAGAAGACAAACTTAAGAGACCACTGAACCCTGCCAAGTCAGGGTAGGACAGCCTTCCAATTTCCCTGCCTCTGTCAGATACTCTAGGCCTTAGCCAAAGCTGGTTGCCTCTACTACTGTGAGACTTTGGGCAACTGACCAGGTAGCCTGCTGTTTCTGTCTTCACTTGCACCTTCTGGAAGTCGCTTGATTGCTCGATTACACTTCCTGCCTACCCTAGTAATGTTATCCTCCTTCTCATGTCTTTGATGAGGTTGAAGATTGTTATTGTCCTCTCAGATAGAAATATTAGGCACAAGACTTAAGCTTTGTAGTAACCTCTGTTGTGCCTTTACCCGAGGACTGGACATATGGTTTATACCAATTGCTCTACATTGCTTCACTGGCAGTATGTCTTAAATTATGTATGTTTTTACATTTCTTTCTCCTAGAACATACTTGATACTTGCTATCATAGTTTATAGTTTTGTATGAAGCCTAAACCTCCTTCTTTAGACTAAAAGGGGAATTGTAGCGATATGTTGCCTGTAAACCTATAACAGTGGCCATGCCATTTGGGCTTGGTTAAAGGAACAAGGATCAGAGATGGGGGTGGGAATTCCTGAGGTTGCAGAGAGCATCGGGAAGGCAGGGGCTGCATCCTTGGAGCAGGAACCCTGCGACAGTCACTTACTGTTTTCTGTGTAAGCTCTTTCCCTAATAAAACTCCACTTAGCATTTATACTGGGTCTGGTGAATCCATAATCTCTACGTCTTCACCGTGTCCTTCATGCTTTGATATTTCCTGCTCTTTGTGGGATGACTTTGTTAAATAACATCTTCAGTTCCAACTCCAAGTTCCTAGTTTGTTCTTCAGCCGAGTTTAATCTGCAATTCTGCTTAGCTGTTAAATGTTTCATCTCAGTTGTTATATGTAGCTATGGGAGTTCATCTGACTCTTATGAGCTATATTTTGCCCATATTAATATTCCTTATCGCTTCCCAAACCTACCACTCCCTTTTACAGTCTTTGGGCAGTATATCCCACCATTTGATTCTTTCATCTTCTGGTTCTGTTTTCTAAGGATCTCACCATAATGAAGTGCTTCTTGGTGGAGTTAATGACTTTTGAAAAACTGAATTATTCATTTTACACATGGAAAGCCTTGTGACTTTGGAACAAAAGTGGAGCCCCCCAGAAAATATTTGTCTTTTTAAATGCTTTATTTATTTTATATACCAACCACAGTTTCCCCTCCCTCCACTCCTCCTGCTTCCCCCAACTTCCTTTCTACCCCCTCTCCCATCCACTTCTCAGAGGGGGTAAGGCCTCCTATGGGGAATCAACAAAGCCTGGCATATCAATTTAAGGCAAGATCAAGCCCCTCCCCTCTGCATCAAGGCTGAGTAAGGCATCCCACTATAAGGAATTGTTTCAAAAAAGCCAGCTCATGTGCCAGGGACAGATTCTGGTCCCACTTCTAGGGGCCCCACAAAAAGGCCAAACTATTCAACTGTCACACACATGCAGAGGGCCTAAGTCAGTGCCACGCAGGCTCTCCAACTGTCTGTCTGAGTCTGTGAGCTCCTACAAGCTCAGGTCAGGTGTCTGTGTGGGTTTTCCTGTCATGGTCTTGACCCCCCTTGTTTGTATGATTCCCTCCTCCCCATCTTTGACTGGACTCCGGGAGGTCATCCCGGCTGTGCATATCTGCATCTGCTTCCATTGGCAACTGGATGAAGGGTCTATGATGACAATTAGGGCAGCCACCAGTCTGATTACAGAAGGCCAGTTCAGATACCCTCTCCACCAATACCACCAGTTTTGCTAGCCAGCTTACTCCAGGGATCCCTGCCTCTGCCTTCTATGCAGAATTACAGATATGCCTCTACACCCACCTGGCATTTGCATGGGTTCTGGGGGTTTGGATCCTCATGGTTGTTGCTTTTGTGGCAAGAGCTTTAACCACTGAACTATATAACCAGCCCTGGACCCAGTATTCTTAACCTCACTACAGCTTACTGATTTCTGCTTGTGGTATGTAGCTCTACGGTCTTTCCTAGGCAACTTCAATAGAAGGTTTCATTTGGACTCTTCATCCACTTTGTTGGTAACCTCTTTTGATCTATACTTATCATTTGTCTTAATCATCTAAGACACTTTTTGATGGCCCCAGAGCTAGATGACCACATGCTTCTCATATCTGCTTATAGGGACAAAGACTGATTTTTGGGATGTCATAAGGGCAGTGGTTTTCTGGGCTTGCAGGTTCAGTAACCCCATACAATGCTTGAATCTTCTGAAACCATGTCAGGTCAGGTCTAACCTGTGCTCAGATCCCATCAGGGACAGTTCACCACCTTCCTCATGCTGTCCCTTTCTTGTTGGAGCATTTGTGTCACCAGGTCAAGGTTTCAGCTTCAGGTTGGCTAACAAACGAGCCACGTGAAGGACTGATGGAGCCCAGCAAGCATAAGTGTTACGCATCCCTGGGGGAGGTGGGATTTCAGACGTGAGGACATGAGGAAGGGACTGAAAAGAAAAGCAGTCCTGGGGAACACACGTGCACTGAAGCCTTGCTAACCACATTGAGGAGATTAAAGCAAAGAGGCCGTTCATATAAAAGTGTTCACAAAATTAGCATTTTTATATCTACCCAGAAAGAAAGTCAAGACTCGACTGCAGTAACAACCCCTCTGGAGTCATAGAGTTGACAAGCAGCCGAGGGTGGAATCCAGCCTCTTGGACATCTGGATCCTGGTTATTCCTACTATTTTGAGTGTGACAGCTACTACCCAGAGAGGAACAGGCAATGTGAGAGCAAGCAACCCATTCAGCCACACGGGTGAGTGAGCAGGGCTTGGCATATCCCCTGCTCAGGCCGGGGAGGCACCTGCTGAGTACACTGGGAGAGAGTAGACAGTGTAGGCCCAGATCCAAGAGGGCCTCTCCCAGTCCTGTACCAATTCCCACCTAACACAGCTAGAAGACCAAGCTACATGTGCTCCAACAAGGAGCGCACATCCTAACAAGGGGCACCCATCCTAAAGCAGTTCTCTAGCTCCCTGTCTTCTCACAGGAAGGCTTCAAGTACTCTCAGCACCCTGGCCTCTTGTCTTGACTCTAATCACCTCCTCTGCCAGGACAGGGGGCAGAAACCTGGGTAGCACAGCCAGTTCCATGGGTGGTTTTGCAAGGGTTAGTTCTGTATCTTCTCCAAGAGGACTGCCTTGCCCTTTGGGTTGCCTCTGTTGACATCCAGTAGACCTTCTGAGAATGTCTATTGGGGATTACTACGACCAATCTCAGAATCAAGTTGAGCTGCATTCACACCAGTCTTCCCCAGCCTGCAGTGGCTACTGTGTCTGTCTGTCTGTATTGCATCCATCAGAAGAAAGCATAATGTCACTGCAGTTCCTCATGCCCTCTGCCCTCATGCTGACACCAAGTATAGCTTCACTTTCAACTTGGCATGATGACTCTAAAGTAGGTTGTACCCTTCCATCTTTCAGACACGTTTATGCATGCGTATTTTCCTGAACAGAAAACCACAAGAGGAGCTGGCTGAGTGGAGTTGGCTGCACCCCCGACTCAGCAGGCTGCTTAGCTTAACAGTGTATTTCAGGGATATAAGTGTATTAGCAGGAAAGGATGCATCTGCATTGAATTCATGGAAAGGAGGGAGAAGGGACTTCTTCTGGGTCACCACTTGGCCAGCATTAGCAAGCCTTCTGGAGTTATTTCCCCTGAATGTACTTGAGACTGGGGGGGCAGGGAGCTGTGGCTAGTGGGGTACTACATGCCCTGGCCCAGCATATTGTAATATTCCCTTTCTCCCTAAGTGATAGCAGAAAGCTATGGGTAGGCAGTCTAGAGACCCATTCTTTGGGTACAGGGCTGAGAGCTAGCGGTCCAGGTCATTGGGAAGTGCCCCCCCCCCCCCCGACCACAGGGCTCCTGAGGCCCATATGACAGTCTCACAGAAGTCTGGGAGACCCATTCTGATGGGTTGAGTGGTATCTGGCAGGCCCCTGCCATCGTTGGTCCCAGAATTCCTTAGAACTTTCTATGCACTCAGGATGCCTGAGGCTGGTATCTGCTGGACCCTGCAGCCTGGTTATTCCCTGAGAACTAAGGGAATAACCAGATGGGCCCATGAGCACCTTCACCAGGTCAGCTCCAGGTAACTTAGGAGTTTGCCCATGCATATTTGCTGCCTCCCATTTGCTCCTTGGGTGGACAGTATTGGGTTATTCCTAGAAGAGTTCAACCCTAGCTGTCCACCATGGTAGCAACTCAGCCCAGCTATTCCCTGCTATGAAGAGTGAAGTCATTCAGTCTAACCTCCCACTTGCAAGCATTTGCCAGTGTCTCAGTGCCCGCCTTGGCATTTGCTCATGTGTCAAGGTGAAGGCTCGGACTCTGGAGCCTCTGAGAAGACAAGGACTTCTCCATAGGACCACACAGCAGGGATCCACATGGTCTAGGCTGCAGGACAGCCAGCCAAAGGCAAACCTGGCAGAAAGTGGGGTTTGTAAGGCTAGGCTGAGTTGAGCATGGCCTGGCCGCAGGGCCACCACAGTCCCCCACTCCTAGAACTTCAGCAGGTTTTCAACATGAAATCAAGACTGAAACAGGGTAGATGAGACCCTAGCCACACCACTGGGCAACTCTGGGTGACAAGAAGCTAGCAGAGTTATAGGTGGCTTTAGCACCTGCTCTGAGGGGGAAGCAAGTAGGGCCTCCAGAGCCTTAAATGTTGAGGAGGTGACCTGGTATCCCTCGATATCCCAGAGACAGATGTAGCCTATCCCGCCAGCCATGGGACCCAGAAGCCAGATGCCTCATGTGGCAGGGTGTGGCTGGGTGTGGCTGGGTGTGGCAGGGTTTGGTCTCCACACTAGCCCCATTTCCCACTAGCCACAGCCTGAAAGTGACACGATGCGAGGTAAGCAAGGCAGGCCTTTATTGGAGAACATGGCAACATAGATATACAGATTTTGAGCCCAGAATACATGGGCGGGAAACATCTTGAAACCTGCTCACCCTGGTCACCCACACTGTCTCCTCCCTTGCTTGAGGTGTCAGTGGCATTCACAGGGGTAAGCCAGACCAAAGGGGATTGAAGGGATGACTCAACATTTCTTCTTAAGGCCACAGGGAGATGACAAGACCAGGAAGGACCCTTCACAGTGCTGGCCACAGAGCAGGGTCACCCAAGCCGGCACTAGGTGTGAGGTTGCTCAGCATAATAGGCCAGAAACAGAGCAGGCAGCCAACAGGGTGACTTCTGGGGGGAGGAGGAAAGTTGGGTGTGGTGCAAGAAGGACACAGCCTTCGGGGCTGAGGGGCTCAGGCCTGGGCCTCCAGGGCCCGTACACGCACGCTGGGCAGACAAAACCAGGACGGTGGCAGCTCCTTGCTCTTGCAGTCCTCATGGAAGCGGATGTGGAGGAAGAAGTCACCTGTGTAGAGGAAGAGGAGGGCCCCAAGGCAGGCTGACTGGCCAGATGGCTGCACCTGGAGCAGGAAAAGGAAGAGGGGTCATCTGGAGCTGTAGTTCAAGCCCCAGTGCTACTGGGAGAGCCTGCCCGACTCCAGAGTAACGTGAAGGGTGGGACACACTGGCTGTACCCCCACCCGAAGCTTCCTTGGATGAGGGGCTGCATGTATCTGAGAAGCCATTTCCATCTTTGGAAGGAACTACCACTGTTTCTCTCCCTCAACTGTTTGGGTTTAGTGAGAGAAGGAGTATAGGAAATAGTGTGGACGGCAATTAACGACAAGAGTCTGAACCAAGTTCATTGGCCCCTCTGGGGCTGGCCATGCAGTGACCACTGCAACGAGGGGCCGTGGGTGCTGCTAGGAGCGCTGCCGTTGAGCTGACCCCTGGCTGCAGGACGGTATAGGATGCCACAGTGGTCGGACATGGAGGCTGCCCCAGCTCACACTCACCGTGTCAAGGTAGAAGGTGCTGGAACCCACAAAGGAGATGGCGTCATGCAGATCATAGTTGTGCACACCATTCTTGTGGTCCTGGAAGGGGACCACGGTGAGGGCAAAGGGCCCCACACTGTGGGGACTCCGGTTAGTCAGCCGCACCTCTAGGTGCACAGGGTCACCAACCTGGCAGGTAGCTGCCACCTCACAGTCGCACGGCTGCCCATCCACCAGCACATCTGCAAGAGATGAAAGACGATCAGAGGTAACCAGTCTGTCACCTGACGTCTTGCTCTGTGTCAGAGCACTGGGGACACATGGGAGTGACTGGACCCTATTTTCCAGAAATAGTTTGGCAGAGACAGGCACAGCAGGAGGAGAGCTGCACCCAGAGGGGCTGTCCTCTCAGGAGGAGCCCAGATCTGTGGTGTTCCTCTTGGACATTCCAGTCACGGCCACTCTTTCCTCTGCTGGTGAAGAACTCAGAAACTGTAGGGGCAGGACCGTGGATGTGGCCCTGCCACACACACCTTTTGATACCCACAGTGTTGGAGGTCATGGTCAGGTCTCATCAGACAGAGTTGGGAGAGTGACCTGTACAGAGTCCCTAGAGGAGGAAAGTGGGCATGATGATACACTCTGAGAATGCCACATTCTCTCAGACTTTCCCAGGTGCAGACCCATCTCACCCGTCTCCTGTTATTGCTACTCTCTGGAACTGCACCCATCCTCCATCTATAGAAACCCCTCAGTAGCCTCATGCATCCCAACAGTGACCGCCAGGCATAGAGATGAGGAGCACAGATGTAAACCCCACTGGAGGGAAATTCTATAATCTAGCAAGGAAAAAGCAAGGTCAGCCAAGAACGGGATCATATTGAGACTCCCCGATGGAGTGCTCAACAGGGTTCATCACAGGCCTGGGGAAGTGGAAAGGGACACTTCTCTAATCTATATCTACCAGGGTATTATTTGTTCTAAGAGTCTGGGTTAGCTGCATCTTCCATTTTTGAATGCACAAGGCCATGTGGCCTGAGTCTGACCAGGATAGGCTTTGCAGTGGTCCTGGGTCCCTGGCAACTAGTCTGTCTTTAGTCCACATAAGCACTTACAGTGGTACTCTGACACCCTGCAGGCAATGCAAGCATGGCCTGCTGCTTCTACTAGCTGTCTAGCTCTATTGAGCCCACAGTGAGGATCCAGGGGACCCGAGTGTGCCTGTTCCTGCCTATGAGGCCTGTGACTATCTTGCTGAGCCCCAGCTCGTTCTTTTGTGCAGTGGAGCAGATGCTGGCACTGATGGCTATGATGAGAACATACCAAGGTCATGCTGCATGACGCTGTGGGCAACAGCGTGAGAGCTGTGTATGCAGGATCCAGAAATAGCCCTCTGGAAGGACTCTGTGGTAGCCCCATCCCAGCTTTGATTATAGCACCTGGTAAGGCTGTAGGGCAGCTCAGTGACTTCTGTCTGCAGCCTCAGTTTCTCCAAGTAGCATGGGGCCTCATGCAGAAAGATACCCAGCAGTCCTCATCCCTCTCTCAGCTCCACAGGCGCTGGGTCCTCACAACCGTTCCCTGAGCAGTAAGCCCAACCAGGTGCAGCTGGAGCTGCTTGAACAGAACAGGGGGAGCAGGCGGAGGCAGTGGCTGGTTCCGTTAGGGGAGAAATGATTATAAGCAAACCAGCGAAGGGTGGCTGGTGGCTCATTACACGTCTTCCTTTTTTTTCTCTGCAGAGGACTGCATGGGCTGTAGGGCAGTCAGGACAGGGCTGTAGCTCATCTTCCAGCCTACCCTGCCTGCTACAAACCTCTTCTCGCCCTGACTCTGCATAGCCCAAGGCAGACCAGCTGGCATTTCAGCCTCACCTACCCTGGCACTAGAGACCCTGGACACATCCAGCCTTCTTCCTGTCCTGAAAGCTGGCAGGACTGCCTCTGCTTCCTGGGGAGAAGAAGAGGGAGAGGCTCTCCCAAGTTGTACCTAGCAGCTTCCTCCCAGCATCCTAGCACACCCACACCCAGAAGAGAGGCTCCCCAGAAGGACTGCCTAATCTGGGTTAGCTTGGAGTAACTGACCATCCCTTCTGATCTGGGCTATCCTGGGGAGCCCTCGGGACCAGGTACTGGACACCACCAGCTGCCATGTGTGTGACAAGCAGCTGCAGCTGTCCTCCTGCCTGGGCCATAGTTCTCACAGTTCTTGTACCATGGCATCCAGGAACAAGAAATTCTGCACTTCTTAGATACTGATGGGGAAAAAGCAACCTTCCATGATGGGCTTGCGGGAGAGAAGAGACCCTGCTCCCTGGCACCCATGGTAGGAAACATGACTAAAATGAGTGCAGCAGCTGCACTGATGACAGCTCAAGCCCTGTCAGCTCTGTCAGCTCTAACCCCCAACTCAGCCACGCAGCCCAAGCCTGGTACATCCAAGAAGCAGGGCACCTTTTATGTCCAGTCCCCGCTGAACCAGGCTGTGGGGAGGAGTGAAGACCCAGGAAAAGCCAGCTGTGTCACAAATGTATAAGCTGGCCCTGCCGGGAAGCTGGGAACCCACAACGCAGAACTTGACTGACACCAGAATGTGGCTGGCTCTGCGGCGAGGGAGCTAAGGTGGCCGAGGATTCCCCCAGGGCTCACTGTACCCGGATCCCCGGTACCCACTCCATCCAGTCCACATTTCAGGCTCCAGAGGACTGGGTAGATGGTCTGGGGGGCCACATGGCCCTGGCCTGTGCCATGTAAGCCAGACTAGAAACCCTGGTGAGGGACAATGGGGCCATCTCTGGGACTGCAGCAGGGACAACTGGCACAGGACGCTGTACTGTGCTGTAGTTCCTTCTCCAGGCCAGCCAGAAGCTTCCTGTGGCCCTGAACCATGGTGTGTGGAATGGTCTTCTGATCTTTAGGGTTCACCCCATGCTCTGAGTCACTGTCTATTTCCTCCCTCTCTGCAGGATGCTGCCTTGCTAGTGAGGACCAGCTGGTAAAGGGCTCCTATTTGACAGCACCCCTCTCACAGGAGGGGCAGGGGAGGGGCAAGCAGGTCCATGCCTGCTGGAGGGGGCAGAAGGCCTAGTTAGCAGCAGCAGCTGCTGGTTCCCATCAGTTCACCTTGAATGTGAGTCACCCCCAGCAGCTGGAAGCTTCCTGAGCCTCTGTTTCTCATCTCAACACAGGGTCATCTCAGAACCACTCCAAGTGGGGCTTTCTGACCCATGACCTTGATCCCTTCAGTCCCCTGTGGCCCAGAGCCAATGTGTTCTACCCCTTATGCCATACCTACCCCAACTGATCTCTCCTGGTGGCTGTCTGGCCAGTAAGTCCACGGAGAATGAGTGGGGCTGAGCACCCAGCTCACACCCTGACCCATTATTTCCAGACACACCCTGCCATTTCTGACTTCTTAACTCCCCAACCCCAACAGTAGCATGACTGGAAGCACAACCTAGAAATGCCTTTCTAGTAAAGAATTTGTTCCCACTGTGATCCTACCCAGAGAGTAAGGCGCTGGTGGAGGTGGGATGAACAATAAACCCCAGAGAATCGGGAGCGTAACTGCCCTGGGGTTGATGTGTCTCTTTTCTGAAAGCATTAGCTGGACCATGGATGACTGTCCCCTCCTGCCCAGTCAGTCCTGTAGCTTTTCATCTCTGATAGCAGCTGGCCTAGAATGTCACCTGCAGCTGCTGCTCTACTCGTGCCATGGGGCGGTGCTGGCTCTGCAGAAACCATAAACAGAAGACAATAAGAAGACCAGGGTAGAATGGGGTCTACCCTGCAGGCCTCAGGTGACAGGAAGGTGGCTGGTCACAAACACCTGTGGCCTGAAAGAATGGGAGGCAGGTATATGGCACTTGGGTTGATGATTCATAGGCTGCTGGGCATTCTGTGTGTCTTATGTATCCCCAAGTCCCCTTGTCTCCTAAGGAAAATGGACAGCAGCATGGAGCAGGCAAGTCAAAGACTACTTGAGAGGAGTAAGAAGCAAGGTGGGCACAGGGGTCAAAGGGCCATACAGCAAGTTTGCACCTGTCTTTCCCAGCTGATCTGCGTGGACCGGATGAGCAAAGGGGCTGCACATCTGGGGACAGTAGAAGAACTGGATCACCCAGGAGCCACAGCACAAAACGGCTGCATCTATTCGGGACCACAGACTCCAGAGGCTAGGTTACCCATGTCCCAGAGAGTGAAGTATCTAGGGTGGTGTCAAGTGACAGGTTCCAACAGGTGCATGTCCATAAACTCAGGTTCAACTCACCAACCTCCTGACTCACTCAGTGGGCAGTGAGGAGGCAAGGGGAGGGGCAGGCTGGACATATGAGGGGCCTCCTCAGGACACGGCTACACACCTGTTCCCCCAGGACTGCATGGTGCCTGGCAATGACCTGTGCTTTCCTGTCTAACTGGCCACCCCTGCCTAGAGTTCATCCCCCATTAGTGTGGATATCTCACAGCCAGGACTGGGAGGGTTACTTTTCACCCATGGCTACAGATCTAGGGGGGCCATCAGCCCTGCTTCTCACACACCACCCCTCTTTTGCCTCCATCCCCTGGAAAACAGGGATAAAGAACATGTCTTCAAGAACAAGGCAGGGACAGCTGAGGGGTTGGTGCTGCAGCCTCCAAGCCTACTCCAGATGAGGGACTGGACCTAAGCTGGACATCCAGGCTTAATATGGGAGACACTGGGCTTTGGAAGGGGTCAAGGAGCAGCATCAGTCCATTGATGAGGTAAAAGATGGGAAAAAAACAAGCAAGCCCCAGAGGTGATATTAGAGTTCACAGAGGTGTCCCATGCTTCAATACCACCCACCAGCTGTCCTCTGGCATAAAATGTCATTTCTGATCATCCAGGACAAACAGCCCCGTTTTCTCCAAAGCCAATGGAGCTGGTGGCTAGATGCCATCCAAATGCACTAGCTTTCTTCTTTACTGTAAGCTCACGACCAGACACATTGGTGCCAGTAACTGTGATTTAGTTCTCATAGCTCCATCCCTGCACCATAGCCCTCACACACACAGACTCACCCCTGCACATTCCTGGACAGCCACTCCTCCATCCTGCCCACCCAGCAGGTCCACAGGCCCACATGTTTTAGGCAGAGCAAGCGAGGGTTTGACTCAGAGGCTGTGCTTCCGGTCCTTGGGAAAGTGATGTCATACACCACCATTCCTACAACTACACTCTGGGGCTCCTTGCTACTGAGAAGGTGGCCTCTGTCAGAGTGTTG